ACTTCGAAATTACCCCCCCTAGGGGGCTCTTTAGCACAATGGCCACGGACATAGCATGTACGTTTCGGCCATGTGAACCCCGATTAGCGGAAACACTTGCAATGTTTCCTAGAGACATCTTCGATGTTGACTAGCCGAGANNTACCTCGTACCTCGGCACGAGTGCGCTCCTCCTGGTCCAGCGGTGCCGGACCGCCGTTGTTTCGCTTGGTCCTGCAGGGCAGCGGTCGGGGGTTCGGGTTGGATTTTAGGTGCCCCCTGAACTGTCACTGTGTAACAACGGCCTGAAAAATACATCCAAATTCGAATTTGAGTATTCTTCGGCCCACTCCTCGAGAGAGCATGGGCGCGGTTGTTGTAGATGATGGAGACCAACTGATTGACACAGGAATTCCATCTTGTCGCTGTTTCGAACTGATATGCTCTGACCAGAACACTTGCTTCTGTCGCATCGTCCACGAGGAAATTGTCGTCGTCATCGTGCGCTGCAAAATGTTTCACGATGGCCCTGTACCGAGTGAAGGGAGATTTCAACTTCTTTCGGATTTCGTCCTGTGGCACATTTCGAGGTCTGCCAGGACGTGCCTTGGGCGCGCCGCCTTGCAACGCGCCTTGTGCCGGCGCAGGTGCGGCCTCGCCGGACGAGGATGAAGAAGAACTCGAGGAGCTGCTGGAATCGCTGTCGTCGTCAGATGCGATAGCTGGAACGCCCTTTTTGACCTCTCTCAAAAGCGGCAGGCAATGTTTTGGACATAACTGCACGGCATGGGCGCCGCACCCTACGAGCGGCACGTTCAAGAGCCGAAGACCCTTGCGGATAGAGCTCTCGTGGTCACTCAGGCCGGCCATCAAGTCCTTCGTGCTCAGGCCCGCAGCTTTGAGAGCACCAAGGAAAAGCTCGCAATACTTTTCCCATGTTTTTGGCGCCTCGGCCACTTTAACTGCCAAGCACACCCTGCGATGCTGAAAGTCCTTGGTGAAGTCCAAATACATCGCCAAAAAATTCTGTCTCCTTTTCGATTTGGGTTTCCACGTGTCAGCGGACAAGCAAAATTTGCATCCGGACTCTTGCGCAGACTTCAACTCCGCGGCGACTTCGCCCCGGATGGAGTCCACAACAGCATCTACGCATTCTTGCAGTTTGGTCTCCCCTCCAAGCCCTTTCAGCCGACTTGCCAGCACGGGCCGCATGTCGGTGATTGTAGAGACTGGCAGCAAACAGCGCAAACACACATGCTCCGCCCATTCTGTCATCAATTCCATGTCAATCTTGGCAGCTTCGGCACCACCCGTCCGCGAAGGAGACATACCCTCTGGCAAGCATTCAGGGTGCTTGTTCCGTACATGGTTGATGAGTGAAGAAGGGGAAGATCCCAAGATCTGGCACACGCCCTGAAACATCCTCCCCGGGTGCTCACCTCTGGCCACCATCCCAGCAATGACTGTATCTTCCGGCAGCACGGGGTTGCAGATTCTGCATATACGATAATTGCCCCAGCTTTCTCTCGCATCACAGACATGCTCGTACACCCAGGATGTTTGCTTCGGCTTCGCCATGGGGCCATTCGACAGTTGTGGTACTTCTGGATGATGTCAAGATTGTTATTCTATCCTGATGCTGCCTCGAGATAAGGGTCTTGGTGTGTCGCGGCTAGGGTTTTAGGGCGATAGGGCACCCGAACAAAACCGATACATGACGTGCTTCCCGTCCACAATCTTCTAGCTGTCCCCCATGCTGACATGAAGATGCAGAGCAAAGGATCACGTCAGATCGCCGGAAGCTCTGCATGCTGCAGTTGCAGGGAAAACCTTTAAGGAACTTACAAGGACTATATGAATAGCTTTGAATTCGAACTCGTTCGAATGGATGCAAACGTCCCGGCTTGTTAACAGCCAAACAAATCAGAAACACCCTAAAAATGACTTCGAATACCCTCGACACCCAACCCTAACAATGACGAACTTGAGCGCCTCGGCAGGCTTGGGAAAGCCCAGCTCGTCTTCGGAGTTCTCCGGCGCAGAGGCCATGACAATCTAGGTCGGGTGCCGCAAGCCAGGAAGTGTGCCGTGTTCATCCTGGGTCGGATGAAAACAGTCTCCAACAGAACACGTGGTTTATGTTATCCCTACTGAATGGCCGCATCAGCTATGCCAGCTCTGCCGGTATGTGTATCAACCATACATAGAAACATTGACTTCTCACTTCTGAATTGCTTTGACAGATTCGCAGGTCGCTCGACAGTTGTACACACACAACCCAGCTCTCGCAGAATTCTGAAAAATCCCAAGTAAGCACGACGCTACACAGCACAAACCGCCGTTGTCCTCCGTGGGTGTCAGTCACCATCTTGTCGAAGAGGATGCAGAGGGCATTCGAACATGCAAGCGAAACGAAAGCAGAATGCGGTTTGGACGGTTTAAATGATCCTCTGGGTGGGTTTTTACTTATGGGGCTGCGAACCGCGAGGAACCGCGAACCGAACCGCGGGCGAACCGAACCGCATGAGCCGCTCAACCGGTTCCAACCGGTTTACGCGAACCTAACCGAACCGAATGGAACCGCGAGAACACTGAAACCCTAAACTAAAGGAATGGTTAGGAAACCCCAAACCCTAAAAGGAGATGTTGGTTGACCCAAAGCCGGCAAAGAAGCTGCTGTTGAGAAACCCCAAACCCTAAAAACCGATGCTGAAACCCTAAACTAAAGGAATGGTTAGGAAACCCCAAACCCCAAAAGGAGATGTTGGTTGACCCAAAGCTGGCAAAGAAGCTGCTGTTGAGAAACCCCAAACCCTAAAAACCGATGCTGAAACCCTAAACAAAAGGAATGGTTGGGAAACCCCAAACC